GTGTACCATGTAGTTCAGCTATACCTCTTGTCCTTGTCCTGAGTTATTTGAATTTTCCCTCTAAATCCCTTTAGCCTGAATTGACTGAATTGGCTCTATTACTTGCAAACAGTAAGGCCCTGGCTTTGCAAGGACCCCCATCCCCCTACTGAACAATAACAATGTTAAGAATGAGAGTGAGTATTCTGTAACGGAGTGATTGACTTGGCTGGGATGCTGTACACTGCATCTCGGGCTGTTGGGAGGGCTCTCACCTCACTGCCGGCTTCCTCACTGGAATGTCATAAGCTCGGACAATGTTCACCAGCAGCTTTATGTCTCCATCAGACAGGTTTTGGGCTGTCACCTTCTTCCGACCTTTTCTCCTTGGTCGCAGTGGTCGCTTTTGTTCTGCCAGCTTGAAAAGGCTTAGGCCCAAAATGCTAATGATTACAGAACAGGATCAGGACTCGAAGGAAAAGAAAGGCCTGCATAATTGTGAGACGACTTCCCGAGCTCTGCCCCACGGTCTTGCACAGGCCCCTGAAAAACTCTTTGTCCTTTGAAGGAAGATGGAAATAGTCTAGAAATTCTCCCAAATGGGAGAGATCCTACTGCATGGATTGTTAAAACTTATTCTGGCTGCTGCTTATCAGAAGAAGCAAAGCCATGCTCTGGCCCCTACATTTCCTGCCTCATCTCTGCCTTGCTCACCCATCAGTTCCTCAAACATGCCCTGTGGAATCCCACCCTTCACATTTGCTTGGGCCAGTCCTGCAGAGGTAATGCCTCTCTGCATCTTCCTTGTCTGCCTAGTTGGCTGCAGTTTTACCCATCCCTTGGGGCCAGTGTCTTCACCTCCCCCAGAGACTCAGCTACACCGGCTGGAAGGAGTACTCCCTCTCTCAAGCCCCTTGATCTCCTATTAGCCTGCTCAGTGGGTGTGTACTGCTGTGTAGGCAGTTCCTGGATTATCTCTCTGGAGATAGACAGAACTGGGTGTGAATCCTGGCTCCACTCTTTGCCCTTGGGCAAATTATTTCACCTCTTTAAGCCTCTGTTTCATCATCTGTAAAATGCAGATAATGGCACCCACTTCTTTGGGTTGTTGAAGGGATTGAAGAAGGACATGTGTGTAAAGTACCTAACCCTGGTCTAGCATTTCATAGATGTCCCAAAATTCTAACTATTGGGTTGATGAAGTTAATCATAGGAGAAAGGTCCATAGGGCAAATAAATTCTGGCCCAAAAACTATACAGAAACAAAGATGTGACTTTGTATCTGGAAGCTGATGTTAATGGTGATGTCAAGCAGCCAAAGAACAAAGCCAGCTCTGCAGAACTGGCAACGGGCTACATGCACATGGTTCTCTGCTTCCTTCCTGAGGACCAGAGCTGGCTAAGTGACCTCTTGACTGGGGCCCCTCTTTGCAAGAGGCACATGCCAGCTGAGGCTGAGGGCTCTGCAGTCCTGTCTAGGCACTACTGACAGCTCCCATAAGGAATCCCAAGGAATTTCCAGGATTCCAGGAGCTGTTGTTCCTGTTTGTTCTCCAAGGTTTTGTACGGAATAGCTACCATTTATAAGCATCTTCTATGTATTGAGAAGAGTGCTGGGTGCCTTACATATAACATTTCTAATCTTTACACATATAATATTTACCCCATATTTCAGATGAAGAAATTAGAGGCTACAAGAGGTGTTATGATTTGCTGACGGTTCCTTAGTAGTAGGAGGGAGAGCAGGGGTTCAAACTCAGGTCACTGTGAGTACACAGATCATGGTTGGAATCACTCTTCCAGGATACCTACCTAACCCAAATTAGAGAGCTTCAGAGACGCAACTTTGTCAGAGCTCCTAACATGTCAACACTCTTCCATTGTCAATGCTTCCTCCCTCCCCTAGAGGTAAGTCCTCCCTGAGACTTTGATGTCTCCATAGCTGTCAGCATGGGACCACCATGTCAGCCAGGACCATCAAATACAGAAACATCTTAAAGCCAAGAAGGAACCGAAATTAAAAGAAGAAAGAACATACCCTGAGCCTTCAGAACTTAATGCAGAAAGTAAAGCAGAAAAAAGGAAGGAAAAGAAAAAAAAAACAGTATGAAAAATCATCATCTATTCTAAGTGTAATTTTCATGACTTTGAAAACATTCAATGACTGGACTCTGGGCCTGGAATAGAGAGAGAGGTTTTGCATGGATTTATGTGGGTGTAGCCTCCTTTCTATATGTAGAAAGGGGCTGCTATGGATAGCACTATTTTTTCGGTCTCCTTCCCAAACTGATGGTGGAGAGAAAATATATGCATAGAAGAAACCTTTTTAAGAAACCAAGAGACTTACTTAATCACAGAAAAGGTCATAAGGTTAATGGCCTGCACAAGACCACCAGTATGGGAAGTTATTTTTCATCTTTTATGTATCCACACCCCTAGCTGAAGCCATTTGACAATTATCCAAACTAATGAGTCAATCAGGCAAATACAGTCAATTCCCCATATTCATGTGACTATCAAATCTTCCCTGCTGTTCTACACTCTCACCAAGCACATGCACCAGCTTTCTTCCCACCAGCTGTGGTGCTGGAAGCAGGTTTCCTCGTCTGTGCCAGAACCTGTGTGTGTGTGTTGGGGGGGTCTCAGCCTCCTCTACTGCCGTATGACAGAAGAGTAAGGGAATGTCTGGCACTGGGAGACTAGGAAAGCAGAAATACTTGCAGGAGGGAAATGCTGTCAGGTTTAGTTCAACAGGAATGAGAAAATGGCAAAGGCTAATGAAGTTGATTTGGAAGTAGGGAAGGTGAGATGGGCTTCATTGCAATGCAATGGGAGAGGCCCTAGGAAGACTTGTTCTAATAGAAATCCCTCAACTAACGTCATCATCAGGCATTAACCAGGTTTAACACATTATTCCTGGCCCAAATGCATACCATATAATGATTTTTAAAAATCTTATATGACACTTTTCATATAATAGAGTACAAATAATAATTTTTATAATAAGTGATAATGGCTTTGATTATTTTTACCTGATATTGGGAACTTCTTCTTCTACTATCATATCAGCAAGAAGAAAATACTGTTTTGCAATTAAGAAACGATTTATCACTGATTCTCTAACCTGGGAAAAGAAATCATCTGTATTTAAAATGTTCTTATTATTTAAACTTCATAGTTCACTCTCCACACTTCAAGTTTTTGCCCTAATGTCATCTCAGTGTCCCCCCCGATCCTCCAGCCCAGCGGTTACTTTCCTCTGCAATGCTGGTCTCCTCTTGCTCTAAACCGTCTAGCTTTCTGTACTAGGCTGTAAGCTCCCTAAAGGCAGGGGTTTTCCTGTTTTGCTTACTGCTATATTGGAGTTCCTGTTGCAAGTTGCCAGCATATAAGATGGTAAAATTTTGCTGAATTAATGAATCAATCATTACAAAAAATAGGGCCAGTCTCAAAACACACATACTCAAGAACTGATTCTTAAGTTATTCCCTTATTCAGAATGATTCACTTCTTAATTCCAGAGGACCTCTGGCTGGGCATGGTGGCTCACCCCTGTAATCCTAGCTCTTTGAGAAGCTGAGGCGGATTGATCGCTTGAGCTCAGAAGTTTAAGAACAGCTTGGGACCGATGGCAAAACCCCATTTCTACAAAAAATATAAAAATTAGCCAGGCATGGTGGTGTGCACCTGTATCCCAGCTACTCAAGAGGCTGAGGTGGAAGGATGGCTTGAGCTTGGGAGGCGGAAGTTAAGAGTGAGCTGAGATCATGCTACTGCACTTCAGCCTGGGTGACAGACCCAGCCCCCTGTCTCAAATACATACACAGATAAAAATAATAACCTCTTAAATGTTATAAGTCATTTTCTTTCCCTAATACATGAGCCACAGGGTATATAAACTGGATAGGGAAAATGCACTGTAGCATTTCTGGCAAATTCAGTTTATTGAAGGAAGGAAGGAAAGAAGGAAACAAAAAAGGAAAAAGGATAAACAAAAGGATGTTTCAGCTTTAATTTTTAGTTTTCTAGTGCATAAGGGCAGTTAGTATATGGTTTAAAGACTTTTTTTTTTCTGATTACAAAGGTAATCATTGTAACTCAATGGCAACATTCAAATATTAGAAAAAACATACTTAGAAATTGAATCCCTTGTAACTATGCCCCATTAAAAGATAACTGCTGATAATAAACCAGGACATATCCTAGCGGTTTCATATACTTGAAAGGTGATAATAGTTGTCAATCAATTACATATTTGTATTTATGATGAAATTTTTGCAAGTTAAGTGGCTTGCATAAGCTCACATAGATATTTATAAAAGTAGAGGACTTTCCACCTTAGTATGCTGGCTCTTTTTCCCCTATGAAGACAGTTTTATATGATTTTTCTTACCTGCTGGAGGTACTTGGCTACTATGGCCCTATGGGTGTCTATGTGTTCCTTGGTTTCAATTACATTTCTGTCCCGTAACCGTTTTTCATAGTCCTAAAATTAAAAAGAGGTAATGATTTTATGATTTTTAAAGCACTCTCTGGTGCTATTTTTAAGATCAGGGGATTATCACATATGATTCAAGTTATAAATTGTGGTTCTAAATATTTCTTCCACCTTCTTTCTAACTTTTGGTTCAGAATTGGTCTTTGATGCAGTTACCAGGATTCTGAGACAGGTAGCTGAAATACCTTACTAGTAGAAGAGAATTCTGTACAGTAGTTACAAATTAAAATGTTAAGTCAGGGAGAAATAGAGGCCACAAAATATAAGAGAAAAGCTCTTCCAAGCAACTTAGCCAAAGCTCCTGCTTAAGTTTTGCCTTTTCTATTTTAAGTAATGCCATTACAGAAATAGTAAAAATTTCAAGTTAAAACATTACCATAATCACGTAACACCTAGCTGCAGCTGAGTCAGGTCATCTGCTTGGAGGAGAGTGATGCATACATTTGGCTTTGTTTGTCAATAAAATTATGTATGTGCCCTGGGAACTGCTATCTTCTCCTCTAATCCCACTATCTGGTCACAGTGGAACACCTGGAAGCGATACCTAACCCAGGCTCGGAGGACACATCTCTGTTGGCTGAAGAAACTAAATGTGAACTTGTAAGATGTTGGTGACCATGTGGCCAACTAGAGAAAACCTGTCTGCAAAGGAGGAACATGAAGCCAACATATCAAAGAAGCTGAGAGAGGAAGGAGAAGGGTCCTGGCAGCAGGCCAGGTACTGATACACTCATGCCATTCAACATTTTTAGATATTTAGTACTATTTTGAGATTTCATCATCCAGTAGACTCCTCTTAGTACCTAAGTTAGTTCAAAATTGGGCTTTTATCTCCTGTGATCAAAGTCCAAATGAATACAGAGAAGAACCAAATAACCAAACATATTCTTCAAGAATAGTTTTGGCATGAAAAATCTTCCTGGTACTAATTCCTGATGGCTTTCCATTTACCTTACTAAGTATTAATAAAAGTGTGTGTGTCTACAGCTCATGAAAAGCAGGGAAAAAGAAAAAAAAAGTGCATGTGTCTGGTTTCACTGGCCTGCCCTCCCTACACAGACCTGTTACCTGCAATTCCTCAAAGACTTCTCTACCCCATGCCCAGAGATGTAATCTGCTCTATTCTGAGTCTTTGTTCCTCCTGCTGCCCTTGACCAGGATGAATGCCCAGCCCTGTTCCTTTTTCTCCTTCCTGCCCCACCAACCCTACGGCTATTCAGATCCTGTCCCTCTAGTTTTCCCTAGTGCTTTACCACTGTGCTGAGTACATTATGCTTAGTAAGTACTGCATTATGGAATTGAATTCCTGACTAAGGCATTCAGTAATTAGCCATATTATTAGCCTTATTAACCCTTAAGATACTTTCAACTCTACAATGCTAATTGTACGCAGTTCAGTTGACTCAAAATCCTGGTAACTGATTAGTTTATATATCATTATATTGAGGCAGAGAGATTATTCAAATGGTGAATTCAAGAAAATGCATGGAAAGGTTATGTATACAGGTGCAATAAAAGAGAAACTGCTATCGCTAGTGACAGCATAACAAAAACAAAATACATATACAATAATATACTAAACAGCACCACAGGTACTTTATTCTTTTATTAACCCCTCTATGGCAATTTCTTACCTGAAATACCTTTTCCATAATTTCTCGGTCATAGACTGGAATTTGCTTATAATTTCGGAATTCGGGCACCTCTTGGCTTCTAAGAAGAAGAAGCCTGAATCGTTTGGATCTATTTAATTCTTGATCTGAAACAAAGTTAAATTCCTGTTGCAGCTGCTCCAGTCTAAAGAAATCAGGGACATAGGATTCACCACTCGTAGCAACCTATAAAAAACAGAAAATGCAAAACTCTAGATGACAGACAGATTTCATCCAAAGAAACTTGGCACTGAGCTTCAAGGAACATTTAACAATTTTAAATGAAAAGACTTGAAAGACAAAATACTTTAAAATATAATGAGTCACATGTTATTATATTCATTTAGTAGCTGTAAAAAAATCACAAATCATTTTTCCAAACAACAAAAATTATATGTTTCACTTTTGTTGTGCATGTTTCCCTAGTAGTGTTATTATGCCATTATACAGACTGAAAAAGAAGAGATTTGTTCCAGACTACAGCGTATTACTAGGTGCCTACTAGAAATAAAATTACTCATATATGTATTGTATATAAAATCAAATATGTGACTTTTTAATATCATGCACATATGCAGATAAAGGCCTCAGAGGCAGCTGGTCAGCTTTACTTGGCTCCACAACCATGCCTTCCTGTCTCTGACAGGAAAATGACAGCCTTGGTTACTGAGAAAAATGAGCCAGAGATGGATCCAGGTCAGCCTGCCTCCAAAGCTCCTGTGCATTGTCTCAAGAAGGCCAGGTCCGGAGCAGACATGGACTGCACCTCACCCAGGCCTGTTGCCTGCCTCTCTGCTTGGCACTTTGCTGGCTGTAACTTCCTCTTGAGCAGAGGGAAAACCAGTGCCCCAAGATGTGCTGGGGTCTTGCATGGGAAAGGCAATCCTGCTGTGAAAATCCTGGTCCGTAATAAGAGACCAGTCAAGAAGGCAATCTCTATTTTGTTCTTTGATGGGAAAACATGTAGTTAAAAAGAAAATAATGAAAGTGATGTGTCTATTGAAATGTGATTTGAAAACTTTACATGGAATAGACTACATTTTAGGTAATATGACCCATTCTTCCTAATATTTCTATTAGGCGCACATTTCTATTAAGTATCTTATGTTGAAGGAGAGTTTATAAAGATAAAAGTCAGAATAAACTAAGGTTTATTATGGGACTTGGATAAACTAGAACAAAAATGAAAATGTTCATACCAACTACAGTTATCCCATCGATAAACTCATACTAATAACTATGATCATAAGAATGTGTTGCTAGGGCTACACTCTGGATTACCTACTTGTTTATTATGGCTTTGAATGAATAATGAAGTTGCCAATAAAACCAATTGTATTCGATATCAAGAAAAATTAACTAATGTTCCAATTTATTCATAAATTCACTGAAGAAAGAATTTTGAATATTAAGGTAATATGAGCAATTTATCTGGTAAATACTTCAGTGAAACCTAAATGATAACCATCAACAAGAAAACAAACAAAACAAGATTTCTTAAAATGCCCCATCAGTGCATTAAGTTGTGATGAAAAGAGCAAGTGTCCTGAAATCAGATCGACTTATTAGCTGTGTGACCTTGAGCAAATAACGCTGAGTTTTTGAACTCAGCTTCCTCTCTGTAGAAGGGAAAATAAAACCTTTAGGAGTTTTACAGAGGTACGAGGTAGGAGTGACAACAACAGCAATATTTGCTGCTCAAGAATTGCATGCCCAGCTAAAGGGGTTTTGTTTGTTTGTTTGTTTGTTTTTGAGATGGGGGTCTCACTCTGTTGCCCAGACTGGAGTGCAGTGGCAAGATCACAGCTTACTGAAGCCTCAACCTGTGGGCTCAATTGATCCTCCTACCTCAGCCTCCTTAGTAGCTGGGACTATAGGTGTCCACCACAATGCCCAGCACATTTTTACATTTTTTGCAGAGATAGGGTTTCGCCATGTTGCCCAGGCTGGTTTCAAACTCCCGGGCTCAAGCGATCCTCCTGCTTTGCCCTCCCAAAGTGGTGGAATTACAGGCATGAGCCACCATGCCTGGCCGAACTAAGTGTCTTTATACAGCTGTTCATTTCCTCATGACCGCACTATGACAGCAGAACAGGACTTAGAAGCACCAAATGCTTGCCTTGGTCTCAGGCAAGAAGCAGAGCTGGAATCCAAACTTGGCATTCAACTGAGCATTCATGTTCTTAAACAGTATTGCATAGGAGAACATCGTGTAAAGGAAAATTTTGTAAAAAGCCAAGCTGTTTCTGCTTTTTTCAGGCCAAGCCAAGAAATGGCGTGTGTGCTCCGGCCACATACCGAGATTAGCTGCATCAAAGGGGCATTGTTGGGGTCATTTGGGTCGAGCTTGGACTCTGCTGCCCACTTGGCCAACTTCTTCATGTCTGTCAGTCCTGATGTGCCAATAGATGAGATGGCATCTGCTCTCTTCAAAGCACTGAAAAGAACAGTTGATTCCATGAGTCTGACTTGACCACAGAACAGTTTGCATCAGGACCTCAAATTCCAGAGACAGCATCACTTAAGGAAGCTATTATCCTCTATAAGATAAAATGTTATCACAAGGAAGGACTTTTGTCATTTTTCTTAACTTGATAATTGCTATTAAGTATATTATAAGGACAATAAAGAAATAGGAATGGAAAGAATGGAAATTTGACTAATTCCTACAACTCTGTCTAGTGCATAAAAGTGACCCCAGTCCCTGGATTCCGGCCAGTGAAGAGGAGCCTCTGTATCTGGTGATGAAAGCTCACAAAGCCTCACATCCCAGGCCACTGGGGCCCACTATAGCTGAGGACAAATCAAAAGAAAAAGAAACAAAACTAGCTTTTTTTTTTTTTTTGAGACAGAGTCTTGCTCTGTCAACCAGCCTAGAGTGTGGTGGCACAATTTCAGCTCACTGCAACCTCCACTTCCTGGGTTCAAGTGATTCTCATGCCTCAGTCACCCAAGTAGCTGGGATTGTAGGCATGTGCCACTATGCCTAGCTAATTTTATTTTATTTTTTGTATTTTTAGTAAAGTCGGGGTTTTGCCATGTTGGCCAGGCTGGTCTCAAACTTCTGACCTCAAGTGATCTGCCTCCCTTGGCCTCCCAAAGTGCTGGGATTACAGGTGTGAGCCACTGTGCCCAGTCTAAAACCAACTGTTAACGAACTTAAGCACCAGCTTTGGACACATGGAAATCAAAGGAAGCAACAGTGGTCAGCAAGGTTGTGCTGGGCCTTATTAATAGCCCTACATATTGTTACTCACATTGTGTTTCACCTTCTATCCTGAGGAGTCGAAAGCTTTAATCCCTAGGAGATTTTTCAAGCATTAAACACAAGTGAAATGAAGGCTGACTTCTTACATTAAAAGGCATAGTCAAGCCTCCACTGGAAGTAGCTTTTGACTTAGAAAGCACAGAGCAGCCTCTCCTTGTGGTTTTTATCACATGGACATGGGTGGTCGGTATGGGGATGGAGAGGGCATCAGGGGAACTAAACGAGCCCCATTCCGTTTTTCTACAAGTTGAACATGACAGCCTGTGACTGGGAAAGTGTCTTCTTGATGATCACAACGAATCCTTTTATTTTAGTGATGAGGCAACTGAGGCCTGGAATGGTGAAATGATTGACTGAAGACACATCTACTGGGGAATGACAGAGAGAGACTCTGACAGAGGAAGACCCACAGTCTACCACAGTGGGTAGGACCGCCACAGGCTACCACAGTCCAGGCTTCAGGGACAAGCAACAAATACAAGGAGGGGCCAGCCTAGGGTGAGGTCCAGAATGCCTTTCTTCTGTTCTGAGTAGAGACTCAAGGATCTAGCAATCAAGTGAGGAAGCTGGAGAATGGGAACTTTCATGTAAACAGCCGATACTACACCAATCATCATTAGTAACAAATCTTTACTACTAAGGGCCAAATACATACAACTCTGTGATGCTGTCCACCTCCCCATCTGTAAAATAGGAGAAAGGATACCTCCTAGAGTTACTGTGAAGATTAAGTTATTTTCACTGTATCTAATAATGATAAACGCTTAATATTTGTTAGGCTATTAATATTTTCATTGTTTTGGACTAGAGGTTGTTATAAACATTTTTTGTTACCTTAAGAATAAAAAACTCTTGAAAATACTGGCACCTGACAATAAAAGGAAAGAATATGATATTGCAAGCTTTCTTTCCCTTTGGGTATCTTTAATGCTAATACTGACATTGCTCATCAATTTACTCTCACCATGTATTACCTCCGAAATCCGATGTTCTGCTGTGACAATGGAGGAATTAAAGGTATCCCATTTTCTCCAATGGCCCATGCCACACTATGAGATACTTTCCCTGAGGTCATCAGAATCAGCTGGTTACTGCCATCAGCTTCAAATGAGAAGGGCACTCCTAAGGAAACATCAGATTAAACAGGATGCTGTTTAGAAAGAGGGACTGACCCTAGTCCTGTCAAGAAAGCAGATAGTAAACAAATGGAACTTGGAGTGGGCAGGGGTGATGAAGATGGAGCATGTGATTCAAGCCAGTTTCACTGAATTTCTTCAGGTGATAATGCTGACAGCTGCTCAGCTCTGTCTCTGATGGCAGAGAGTAGTCGTTCCCATGAGTAGTCTTGAGTGGGCCCACCTGTGTACACATGCTTCACAGCTGTGTGACCTTAGACAAATTAGTTAACGTCTCTAAGCCTTAGTTTTTAATGTATAAATCAAGGATACTGGCTAAGCACGGTGGCTCACGCCTGTAATTCCAGCACTTTGGGAGGCCGAGGCTGGTGGATTATCAGAGGTCAGGAGTTCAAGACCAGCCTGGCCAACATGGAGAAACCCCATCTCTATGAAAAATAAAAAAAATTAGCTGGGCGTGGCTGTAAATTCTTGGCGGGCGCTTGTAATCCCAGCTTCTCCGGAGGCTGAGACAGGTGAATCACTTGAACCCGGAGGCGGAGGTGGCAGTGAG